GAATTTTAGTCAGCATGGATACAGATGGAACAGACCTTGATTCTGGATGCTTACAGTGCCATGCAATAGGCTTTAACACACGCACTTGTGATGTAAGGTGGGTTCAGTGAGGAGTAAGTGAATGTCCACGTGCCCTTTCAGATGAGGGGTGAAGTGCACTCCAATGGGGGAATCAAAATCTTATCAGGGAAAATAATTGCTTTGTTCAACAGGAAAAGGAAAATTTCAACTTGTTGTTCAAAGAAATGTGATGATGTGTGAGAGGAAGCCGTGTAGATGTGATGATAGGAGGAATGCACTGTGCTCTGTGGACTGGAAGGAAAGCCAGGAATAACAGAGAGCAGAGAGAATCAGACAGACATTTACAGAGATCCTAGACTTTATTCAATGAATTATTTAAAGCCTATTTCTGATCTGGCACAGGAGTTCACTTGGTCTCCAGAAGGGAGTAATGGGAGCCCCATCACTTCTGCCATTCAACGAGCAAATGGTTGGAGACACACAGCACAGAACATCGAACTGTTTGACTTTATCAGCCTTCCCTTCTTTGTAGCACCCGCCGTGTTTGCAGCCCTGGAGCTTCCAGGCAGCCCAAACTTCACCAGTTCAATCTGTGCATCAGAGAGCACAGCCAGAGCTCTGCTATCTCAGGGTGAAGTCGCTTGATTTGCTGAACAGCCCCTTTATTCTCCACTGGTTTTGATACCCTGGAGGTGCTTACCACCTCTTTCTACACCACCCTCAGTTCTCTGTCCTACAGATATCCTTCATAAATCCTGTGGTCGGAGAAGAATCCCTAAAGAACACACACTGTGTCGACCTGGTTCAACACATTCACTGTGCCCCTAAATAACCACATTGCTAAGGGTGAGCGTGAACAAGCTGGGATATGTAGAGACCAAGACAGAACGTTTGAGTTCTGGGCAAAGCTGACATGTGGGGTTTCTCTCCCTCCTATTCAGTGGCAGTAATTTCACCTCTCTGGAAAGAAGGAAGAAAGGCTGCAAGCATGAGATTATTACATTTGGTACATTTATACCCTGATAGAAGCTAAAAATAGGCTCCAGTGGTTGCTAAGTGCATTTCAAACGGCTTTCCTTAGAGGTAAAAAGGGGATTTTATTTGAAAAGCCAAAAGGTGGGATTTGTAACATCTGGGAAAAGAGCTGAACAGAAAATCGCTGTTTGTCGGAACAGAGGAAGCAGGGAGTTTGTGTTCCCTCTGCTTCTCGAGGGCTGTTTGCAGGAAGGAGATTTGGGCATTCCTCAGAGTGCTACAGAAGAATGCACGAGCATTCTAATGGCACTTTGTAATTGCTGATGGCTCCTTGTAACTGCTTTCTGCTTAAGCATTTGGTGTGGGATATCTGGTGTAAAACAGTCACGTTTGATGCTGTAGTGCAGGGTGAGGTCTGTTTGCCTTCTGTCTGACTCACGCAGTTCTTCCGAGGTCTGAAACACTGAAGTGTATGGACAGACTGCCATTCTCATTAAAAGCACTGTGATTATCATTTTGCAATAAAGACAGTAAGCCGTTAGAACAAAGAGTTGTAGTTGTAATTGAAAGACGTCTGATGTCAGAACAATTTTTGAGACACACTCCAGATATTAAGAGCCATTTCCTGCTGTAGTAACTGCTGTAGGAATAGGCAACCTGCTAATGTGCCTACCTGGCAGAAAACAGCCTCGAGATAATTAGAATTATGGACCTATAAATAGTATAAACTATTCCAAGTGCTCAGATGCTACCAGAGCTCATGCAGAAACAGTTGCAGGGGGACAGGGCAGGATGGAAGCTGGACCCCAAGCACTGCAGGCACCCAGCAGACTGTGACCACAGCTCCCCAGCGTGAGAGTTTAGGAGGCAGGAGAGAATTTAGGAGATTAAATCAATGGTTTAAAGAAAGCAGGTGTTACATTAACAACTAGTGATGCCTCGATGTGAAGGGCGTGTATGGAGAAAGCACTGAGGACGTGGATTGGGCTCTGCCAGCACCCAGCACCTCCTGCCAGCAGTGGGATCCATCCCCTCCTTTTGCATTCATTACCAAATGGAAAAGATAGAGGAAAGTCAATTTCAACAGAATGAACTTGCATCTCAAACTTCTTTTATACATCGAGAAGCAGGTAACTCAGCAGAATGCCTCCCAGACAAAATCCCTGAGGTTAAGAGTCTGTATTATAAGATGACAAAAACCAGGCAATTACCAACTTGGGACTGAAAATTTATCCCAACCCACCTCTGTGCAAAGGCCTCAGAATGTCGTTAATGACCCACTTTGCCAGCAGCTTCAACTCCATTTGTTCCTTTTTTTGGAGAATGTGGGACGCTTTAACCAAATTCTGGGTAACTCTGAGCTGTGATGAAGGTGACAGAGCTGATAGGGACAGTAGCCACTTCTTTCTGATGCACTAATAGCCAACAGGTCCTTCTCCTCCGTACTCAGAAACCCCATTAGTGCAAAGCTCAGCTACTTCAAGTAATGTCTGCTTTTATTTTATTTTATTTTCATGAAAACCACCGTTACTTTTAATTCCTGACATAACTCTACGTTGCGAGTCAGTGTGTGATAAAACAGCATAATATTCGCTGGTGTCAAACAGAGGATTTTAGCAATAAGTTTCAGAGCAATGTGAGATATTGCTACAATTATTTCTCGTGTTCACTAAGTTAATCTTTCCTTTTCAAACAAAATCTGAGATGATCGCTATGACCCAGCACTTCTTCCCACCCCACATGGCCCCGACCCACTGGGTGCACTACATCTGTGTGACTTACACTGACATCCCCCTCCTGGGGGAATGGCTGTTTATGAGGGTGGGTAGTGATAGGACAAGGGGAATGGTTTTAAACTGAGACAGGGGAGGTTTAGGTTGGATATGAGGAGGAAGTTTTTCACCCAGAGGCTGGTGAGGCACTGGAACAGGTTGCCCAAGGAGGCTGTGGATGCCCCATCCCTGCAGGCATTCAAGGCCAGGCTGGATGTGGCTCTGGGCAGCCTGGTCTGCTGGTTGGTGACCTGCACATAGCAGGGGGTTGAAACCAGATGATCATTGTGGTCCTTCTCAACCCAGGCCATTCTATGATTCTATCATTCTAACTCTAACGTGCTGACTGCCACAGCATCCCAGTGTTGTGGATGCAGCCTTGTAAGGCTTATTTCTCTCTGCTTAGGTGTTTTGGCACGGAAATAGCACGGAAGAGCTAAATTAAATCGTTACTCATAACGTCCCTGCAGTGCTCAGGATGCAGATCTCAGCAGTGCCACAGGATTCACACTCAGGGCGCAGCTCCCAGCAAAGCAGTGCTGGGTGAGCAGCTCAGTGTAGCAAAGCGTTTCTCAAGGTGATTTGAGCCCATAAAAACATTTCTCTGTGTACACTGTGCATTTTGAGGGCTACCCTAAACCCATAAATACTGTTCGGTGCAGAAAAAGCAAGGACAATTTTATTTATGACGTGACCACTGGGAGGTTTTTCTCTGGGCTTAAGAGCTGCCAGACCCTGGTGGCTGTGGGGCACAGAACACTTGCAGGATGAACCAGAGCCCAACCAGAATTGTTTCCAACCTTGTGTTTTGGTGTGACAGAGCACAGGGCCCGTCCTCAGGGCACAGACGTAGAAGTAGGAAGGGATTAGAGTGGAATCCAAGAGAGGATTTCACATCTCCCTGCATGACCTGGAGACACCCGTAGCTCTGCTTCTGTCCCCATCACATCAGTGACTGCAGTGCTCACCCCCGACCCACAGCCCCGACCCAGGGCAGCTCAGAGCCCCAGTGCTGCAGCCAGGGGCGGGATGCCAGGCAGGGATGGGAGCAGCTCCCAGCTCCCACATCCAGCAGCTCTCAGCCATCTGACGCTGCTCCCAGGCGGCATTTTCTCACCTCAGACAGGGACAATGAGCCTAATGTGACTAATGTCTGAAAAGAGCTCTGAGGCAGCTGGATAGAAGCGCTAGCATTATGATTAATTCCATAGACTCATGTGGATTATAATAAGCACGAAGCCGAAGCACTGCACAGAGGATGTATGATATTATTCAGCTGTGGCTTTGCGGGGTGTTTGCTTTTCAGCAGCAGTTCAAAACCAGCAAAAAGAGCTGCGTATCACCCTTGCAGGGCACACAGCATCTCTCCATGTCCTCGGAGGGACGGGCACATCACACAGCACATACAGAACCAGTGCTGCCAACAGCACAGGGCGCTTCAAAGCCTGGCACACAAATGCCCGAATCACACCAAGGTTCAAAGACAAACAGCAGAAACGTGGTACTGATCTCACTCCTGGCTGTGTCAGGGCCGTGGTGGTGCAGGGTCACAACACGTTGTGTCTCAGTGCAGGCTTTGGCAGCACTGATATCAGAATGCTTCAGTGAGTGAGGGATCTCTGGTAGTCACGAAGCTGTTCCTTGAAAACAGTGCGGCCAGCAATCCTTCATCCCTGAACAAAATATCTTTTTTTTTTCTCACATCTCACGTTCTTCATGGAAGGAGGTGATGAGCACAGAGGTAGCTTTTCAATTCGAACAAACAAACAAAAGCAGAAGATTGTTGTGCAAAGTTATTTTGACATACAGAGTGCAGGTGAGCTCTCTGCAAGCACCCTGCAGCCCGGAACCACTGCCCAGTTCCCTTCACTGCAAAATCAAATTGCAGCAACAGCAAAGGTTAGAAGATCATGCACATACACAGAACAGGGTTTGCAGGATCCACCAGTATTCCCAGCCTGGTCACCAATGCAGTGTGATGCAGCCAGAACAGCCATTCTCATCTGAATTCCCTCCTTCCTGGGAAGGACAGCAATATGGCACACCTCGCAGGGAGGTGCAACAGAGCTTTAAATAACCACCCACAAACTTCCCTTGCAAAGAAAATTGCGAGTTGGTTAATGCCAAGAAATCTCAGGCTAAGACTGATAAAACAGGACTGCCTTCTGCATCTGTGGCACAGGAATTAAGGAGTCACGGAAAGTTTTTTGGCATAGCGATCAGAAGGAGAGAGTTCTCACTTTGTTTTTTACTGAGAGTGTCTGTGTCAAAAGAAGAGGCTGCGATTCAGTGCAGGAATGAGATTCACACCGTTTGATGAGAGTCAGAAGAGCTGCATCCGTTTGGAACTGGGTGAATTTAGTGCAGAAACTTCAGATTTAAAGATTTGTGGTGAAGTCCTGTAGAAAAAAACAACGGAGAAGAGAGGGCAGGACACAGGGTTCAAGTCAGGTATCCTCAGGCTAAAACATGCCACCTCTTCGGCCAGTTAATTTAAAACAGGATTAATAATTCCTGCATGATTAGGATTTTATGAAGCTTAATTAATTAAAGGTCATAAAATGCAATCAAGCTTGCCTATGACAGATACCAGATAAGTCAGGACCATCAGCACGGCAGCCGTGTCAGCAGCCCCACACACGGCCGCATGCAAAGCCAGAACGTGTGGCTCTGCTCTGCTCCTTTCTTCAGGACTTTTAATACCTAAAAACGCTGCAAATCCCCTTAAACATGCCATGTTGGGGTGGGTAGAAGGGGCTGCTCGGGTTCTGAGAAAGGATCAAGAAAATAAAATGCAAATCTCCCCGCAGTTTGTGCTAAGAACCCATCACACAGGTTCCTCTGATAACACGCTGCTGACTGCACCTTCCAGCCCTCCCCACCTCCCAGAGCCTCTGCCCCGTGCTGCTAGAGAAGCTGTGCCTGCAGCACTTCCAGCTGCTTGTCGATTGGGAAAGGCTCCAAACCTCTTAACAGAGCACTTCTGTCTGGGTGAAATTATCAGGGAGGATGAGAGTACAATTCGTAGCCACAAAAAGCAAAACAAAGCCAAACCTGACCTGAATTCGAGTCAAGCCACTCCAAATCCATACGTGTCTGGCTTCTCTTGGTGGGGACAGGTAGTGATGGCCATTTGGGCACCATGCTTCACTGAGAGCCCAGTACAAAAAAGCTTATATCCTATGAGTCTATATAAATACATTAGACAGAGAATGAAAACCACACTGAGATTAGGTTTCCATCTCTTAACATCTACATACAGATGGGATTAGTAAATGAACAGACCACTGAAGGAAGGAGAGGGGATTAACAATGGAAAATAGGGAGGGGGGGAAAGGTAGATAATCAGTGGCAGCTCTTCGGAAAAGAGACTGAGGGCAAATGGCACAGGAAGCCTCCATTTATTTACTTCAGCAAATGAGAGATGAGGAATATGAAAATGAAAGACCAATCTCCCTTTAGCCCTGGGGGATGCAGGGCTGTGGGCAGCCCCGCAGGGGCTCTGCAATGCACTGAAGGGATCATCATTCCGGGGCAGCTAAGCTTAGAATCCAATTTCAGCTCCAGCTATTAATGCAAAGTTTTAATCCCCCTCCTTAGGCAAATCATTTGAGGGAATGATGGATAGATAAATAAACAATAAATTCATAAAAGTCGGGCTTGCACAGTGATGGAAAGGGCCCATTTCTCATCGGTGTGAGTTTGTAAATGATAGTCCACGTGAGGATGAAGTTATCCTGCTTATGCTGGCTTCAGATCAAGCCCAAATTCTGTACTCGAGAGTAACAAGGAAGCAGCGTCTGCTCTACAGTGAGCACCAATGAAGAAAATAAATAAAACAGTCTGTAGCCAGTCAATGAAAATCTCACCTCTGAAGTGGGAACTTACAGGAGATAAATAAGCAAGCGAGGCAGTGTCTGATCCTACTCAGTCCAGACAATCTGACACAAAGCCACACTCACTGTACAAAAGTCCTAAACATCTGTCTGGGTTGCAGCACTGACCTACAGCAGTTGTTTGCAGATGTTCTGTTCCAAGAGACAAGGCAGTGGCAGAGCAATTCTTCCGCCAGCAATGCCTCCCAGTCTCTAGCAAACAACAGGTCACAAATTTACGGGCCCAGAAGCTGCTTCAAGCCACCATATTTAACCCAGCAATGACCCATGAATTTCTTTTTACATGCATTTCTACATTTATGCATCCTCAGCTCCTGCAGCCTTCACTCCCTGGGAGCCCAGATGAGAAACAACCAAGAAAGAAATGCTAAGTGACCTGGTTAACATTTTTCACAGCTCATGCATTTTTTTTTTTTGCTTCAAACGTTGACTCAGGAGAAGAGCCATAAGATAGTCCACAAATGTGCAATCTGTGTTGTTATCAGCTTGATTGGATATCCTGGGATATTCATCGTTTGAATTTTAAGGATTCCGAATTTAAAACCTTTTCAACAAAAGGTCACTGATTCAATACAACGCAGGAAGCTCAGAAGAAGCAAATCCCCTGGCCACCAGCAGGGTTTATTTGTTTATGGCATATCCAGAGGATACATGCATCCAAATTCTGCTGGAAGGGATCCATTTTTCCCATCTTCTCCCACACCCACTAATTCTTCTTCGGAACAGCCCTCCACTATGCTGTCACCAAAGGGACAGGATGGGAATTGTGCTCTGTAGCTGCAGGTAAACCCACACCGTAGCTCAGAGTGCTGCTGGGTTTGGACATCTGCATGGAATAGACTCCCAAGTTGTAAATCCCTTGCCTTTCACTTACACTAAATCACTTTGCTAGCACTGAAAGGAAATTAAGAATGATTTTACACAGTCAGCTTTTAGCCCATTTACAATTTTCTGCATTAATATTACTTTTAAAACATACGCTCTCACTTCTGTCTAGACTGCAAAAAACATGAATTAAAGATAGTTGAAAGTTATTTAAGTCTTGTGCCCTCCGAACAGCTCCCTTAGAAGGTGAACCATTAAGTCTTGACCTCCCATTTGGAGCGGGCTAAAACACTTTTGCTGCTTGTTAGCAGATTAACAGATGAGACAGAGGGGAGTTAAACATAGCCGAGGTGTGAGAAGTAATTATAGGCTGCTGCATCAGGCTGGGAATAAGAAAAGCCAGTGTTAAGTATCTGCTCTGAGGGTGATATCTGTCTTTAATGGAAGAGGAATGCAACAGCTGAATGTGTTTCTTCAGCAGTTGACCTGAATCTCCATTTCCAAGTGAGTGATGGCACCCGGACCAACCTGGCTCTTCCCCAAGTCTCCATTCCCTTGAGGTCCCTTCCAACCCAAGCCATTCTACGATCCTCAAATTGCCTGTTTGCAGACACAGACTCTGCAGAAAGCTGAGTCTGAGGTATTAGGAAGAAGAGAAACCACTGCTCATTGCTGTTACAAACTCAACAACAGCCCAGTAGGAATTTGCTGGAACCACGTGTAGAAAAGTGCCTCTGACTGCCCTGCAGCCACCTGCAGTCACAGCACAGCTCCTTGCATCTCGTGTTGCATCATTCACCTGTTGTCTCTTGCATTGCACTGCGATCCTAACCTCTCTGAGGCTGCACTTCGAGCTGCACTGCGAGGTGTTGTCACCACTGTGATGTCACCACTTAGCATCAGCAGGGGCAGCTTCTCATCACACGTGGTTTTGCACAGCGTCCATGAGAACACAGCCAGGGCACCCAGGCAGCTCCAGCTCAAACAGTGACCGATGTTACGTGATGTGCCTGAGTAGCTGCTATCACCTGCTTATGTTATTTACTGACTGGGTGAAAATTCTGTTGTACTGAACTTCATGCATCTTAATGCAAATACACACCAAGGATGTGAGTGAGACCATAAAAGAAAGCAATTTTTTTCCATCTATTGTGCATAAATAACTACACAAGTTGCAGGGCTGTGGAGCACCATTGCCTCTGGGTTGCATTCTCTACACCACTCCTCCAGCTCCTCAGAGAGAAAGCTCTAACGTGGGAATTGTATGGCAAAGAGCACCAGAAACAGAAAAAAAAACACCTTTTGCCTAAAAAAAGATTCACCAGCATTCCAATGACTAGATCAACATTTCTGCAGTGTAAGTGCAGTAGTTCAGCACTGGTAATTTCATCAGCCAGAGGTTATGACTTATGCATTTTTCTGGAGTTTATGGCTGATTCTTTATGCATGCACAAGAGCTAATTGCATCCAAGAGAGTTCTGTGCCTGTTGGTCTGGAGGTGTATTGCCATATGTTTGGTGTATACTTAATTAACACAGTACAGCTGCACTGCTTTCCATTTGTATTATAGATTAGATTTCTATTACACATCCAGGCAGGAGTCCCACAATTCATATTTATTAAAATAATTACCCCAAGATTTAGGTGGTTGGAAGTACTCAGTCAAGCAGCCCAGCACTACTTTGCACAAGGAGCATAAATCAGCTATGAACCAAAACTGAATAGCAGGACTACTTAAGTGGTTGACATGTGAGTCAGAACATCAGATTAGCAGGCAGAGGGTAAAGCAGCCTGCTGAGCCTTTATCCAGGTGCTGGTTCTTCAGATGTGAAAGCTATTGAAGCGTGACTTGCTACTATGTTCATACAGATCACATTCAGATCTTTTTTTAGCTTCCTGCAATTTTTTCCTCCAGGCACCAAAAGTTCATTTTAAAATTCGATTTCAGAACGCGCTCGCTGGTTTTCAGTGTCAGTTCATGAAGCTCCTATGGATCAAAACCCACACATACCTGGGCATTTCTGTTTAAGAGGGTTAGAAGCTTGAGTAAAGGTGCAAATTGCACTTCTGCATTTCAGTCAAGTATGCTTCCAGTATTATTTTCCCTCTGTACAAAAGGATTTTGCATAGAGATACACTGAGACTACAAGGACAGAACAGATCCAGAATGCAAGCACATGCATTAAGAGAGCCCTAATTGCTTAAATCCAGGATCTAATTCCAACTTCAAACACACTCCAGGGGTCTGGAATACTAGGACCTAAAGCTGTGCTTTGGGTTTGATAGAAAGGGAACATCCAGCATTTTATGTGAACGTTATTGTCTCATCCAACTCTGAACTGAGGAAGTAATTTGACTAATTAAAGTCCAAATCTATGCAATTATAGACAGCAACGCATGGCTGAGGAATAATCAAATTTACTTTTTTAATCCATTCATTAGGCCATCAATATAATTTTATAAGCTGGTTCAGAGCAGCATGTAGGAAAGCAAAGCTCTGCAATTACCTGCAGAGAACTGAGGGCACAGCCTTGCAGCTCCAGCTGCTCTCATGCTCCGCTCGCAGCCCATGCGTCTCCAAGTGCCTCTGATCCCACCCCAGCTGGAAGCAGAACAAGACCCACAGTCGTCTCAGACAGGCTGACCATCAGCTATCAGATGGCAGTTGGCACCTGGCAAACAGTTTGTCAGATTTGCTTTTCCCAACCATAACAGGCAGCAGAAAATGCCTGCTTCCCATCCTCCTGTGTAACATGCAGCAGTTCAAAAACATCAACGTGTTGAGTTCTCCAAATATTATAGCCAGCCCCCAGAGGAGAAGGTGTTGATACACCTCTTCTAATGCTGTGCTCAGAATCAAACTGCTGTCAGTGTTCCCTGTGCAGCTGTACTGCCTGGCAAGGAGGCCCAGCACTGGGCAAGGAGCTGAGTGTGCAAGGAGCTGAGTGTGCAAGGAGCTGAGTGTGCAGGAGGGGTTCCTCTGGTTGGAGCATTCCCACCTTTGCTTTGATTGTTTGATAAGTCACAACGGTGATCTGAGGGGAAGCAAACTCCTGTGCTGTTTGAGAGCCGGATGGTATTTTGGAACAGAAGTTAATGGGGCTGTAAATCTGGAAGATGGGGGGAATTAACAGGTCACTTTGAATCAGTTGCTTCTGCAGTTCTTCTGTTCAGGCTTATTAGCATAGAAATTTCTAACTTTCCAGCTGAAGAGTTTTGGCTGTTTTATGTTTAGATTTGAATTACAATGGAGTTGCTACGACTGGAGGACAGAGATAGGGAGAGACCAAGGAAATATGCTTAAACAGCTGGTTGCTCCTTTTTCTCTTAGAGATTGTTGCCTGCTTTATGGAGTCTGTTGTCTGAAAACAACAAGAGCAACAACATAAATATTCAGTAGAAATTCGAGAAGATGCAAGAAAAGAAGCATGGGAGATTTGGTTTGAGAAGTTAAATGCAGTCCCATTGATCCCATAGCAGCCACAGCTCAGAGGGTGCTTGGTGCATTTCAGCTTTACAAAGATCTCCAAATCCTCAGGAGCAAGCTTAAGGGACTCTACCCATGTGTCAAATCCCCAGTTGAACCTGAGCAGCAGGGTATGTGGTTACTGTCACCCCAGAGGAGAAAAACCAGACTTGCTAAGAATAGTTCTTAAGTCCTCCCATCTTTTTGTCCCTCCTCTCTCTTCCAACAAGATCAGCAGCATCCAGCCCCAGCAACCTGCGGACAAGAAGTAGAAAAGATTGTTGTACACCTGCCTGCCCCTCCTTAACTTTCCATGTTAATTAACATCTTCAGCTGAAGTGGTGCTTTTGACATTGTGCGTTAATAGAAGAAACAGAATCACATCTCTTAATGAAAAAAAAGGTATTTTGCAAATGAATCTAATCCTTTTAAAAGTTCCAGCACATGAACACACACTTTTGCTGTCTGATGGTTCATTTTCATACCGGAATTCTCAGGCAACTCAGAGACACGGTCACAAATTTCATGCTGTGCAAAGCTGCTTATCAGAGAAAGAAATGAATTAAGATGGTTGGGAAAGCAAAAAAAAGAAAATAATAATGTTTATGTTATACTAAATAAGCGTATGGGGTAGCTTGCTTTTCAACTTCAGGAGTGACTGTTCTCCCTGTTCTTGCCCCTCTGAATTACATCTGGCTCTGCAAAGCCATATAAGTATAAACTAGGCTACTTGTAGGCGAGGAGCTGATAGGGAAACTTTATAGCACCATAATCACCAGCTCCATCCCACAATATCCTCAGCAAGGGAACATTAATAAACATTAAAGAGGAGAGTAAGCTAGGCATCTAATTAAGAGTGGAGCAGCCTGCCAGACAAGGTCAGTCCCCAGATGGGGTTGAAGGGCAGTGTAAGATAAGAGAATAAATTCAACGTAAAGGTCATCTATATGGATTAAATGATCTGAGCAGTCATTTCCAGACCCATCTTCTGCAATTAATATTTAATTAAAAATAGCAACACTATAAAGTTTAGCTTTTAGCCGACAAAATTATTTCATGTCCCATAAAATCTTTAAATACGAGATCATGCATTCGTTCTCTCACCCGACACAAAGTAGGCTTCTGTGGTTCTGAGTAACCTAATAGAGCTGAGTAACCCAAGAAAGTGAGTTTCAAGGACAGTCAGCCTTTGCACCTTAAAAATTGATGGAAATTGGCTTCCAGTGACCAAAGACAGCGTTTAAAAGTTGAGGGCTCCCTCCTGTCCACTCAATCTGGAGTTAGCTGCAATTTATAACTGAATATTCATCAAAATTCATGACGATTCTCCCTGGGTCTCTTATCAGGAGCACCTCCAACCTGTGGTTAGTGTGATTTTCTGTCTCCTATGACCTGGCAGCCCAAGAACTAGGCCACCAAGGCAGCCACCAGAGGGATGGCTGTTCTTCAGCTCTCGAGTCCTTTGCGACCTACTTCCAAGTTTTTAAGCTCCACCATCAGAACAAGTTGGAAAAGGAGGTCCAGGCTCACCCTGTGAATGAACCCATCAGCTTGGAATATGCAACTGAACGTCCATTTATGCTCAGTGCGGGGTCTGTGCCTCCCCTCGTGGGTTGGGAGGTTGAGGTTAGGGCCTGGATTTGCTGGTTGACTTTCAGAAAGGCACACACTGATGGTTCCCTGCAGATAATAGGCACTTCCTTCTGCAGGAGCCAGATATTTTTTTTCACAGCACTGTGAAAATTAGAAGTAATCAAGTTCAAAGACTTGTTTTTACTTCCCTCAAAGCCAACCGTAAAAATCCCTTCACTTCATGGGTGCAGGATCAATGGTTTTTTTTCTTTAAATGCTTCATAGAACTTCCTGACTTCATTCCTGGAACCTGGGGTCTTACTCTGTTTATTTTTTACCTGTTACAGGGACAAAACATGGGATTTGTCATTGTTTTCAAGGGTACCAGAGATGTTAGTCAAAAACCTGAAGCTGTTAGCTTTCCTCATTGGCTCTCAGGGGTGTGACCTTCTACAATAAGCCTTGCTGGCTTGCTCACATCTTTGCTTATGGAAGTTTCTCAGAAGAACCTGGGCTGCTTTCTGCTGGTTATCTCCCCTCCTGGGAAGCAGGGATCAAATCTAACTGAACTTGCATCCAGCTGCAGGAGCCTGGTGGTGCTCCCAGGGAAGGAGCAGCATCCTCAGCATTGGCGTGAGCACATCAGGGAAGAGAACAGGCAAGGAGAGGCAATCAACTCCTCTGATATGCTAATAAGAAGGCACAATTAATTTCTTCACCTTTTGCCCACTCCCTGCATTTATAAATTAAATTAGCATCTGTCCATAGACATGCACACTAATACTCTCTTATTTAAATGGCATTTACAACTTCAAAATATAAAGCAAGAGGACAAGCTGTTGAAGTTAAGCAAGAAAAACAGGCAACATAATTTCTACATATGTGTAAAAAAGAATTTTGGGGGGGAATCTTTTAAAGTATCAAACATTATTTGTTGCTAATTCAGGTTTGCAAACAACTGCCTAGCACTTCTGTTAAAATATGTCAGAGCTGTTAAATGCCTGCATAAATAATAAATAGGAAGGGCATGTACTAAGACTAAGGTCTCTCTGCATTGAGACATAGCACTATGTTTTATTAATAACAATTTGAAAGCCACAATGAAGTAGGAAAATGGTTCCTCTGCCAGGTTCCTAAATTTCTGACTCTCAACCAAGCGCAGTCCAGAGGATAACAGTTCTAACTTTATCACAGGGACTCTACCAGAACACTTAGCCTTGTCCATACAGATTTAAGAATTACGATTATTTTTGGTTCCATGAGTGTGTTGAGTAATAGGCCTTTGACTGATGGTGAATCAAACGCTGCTGGGTCTGAGAGAGACTGTTTCACAGCATCTGCAGAATAACTGTAAAAATCTTCCTCTGATTTCTATCCGTGGTTAATTACGCTGTGATTATGGAAAAATATTATGGCACAGAAGTGCTGATGCTGAATATTTCAGTAGGAATAGTCTGGTGCATTTCTAAAAAAAACCCCAAACTCTGAAACCCATTAGATACGATAGGCAATGATAGAACTCAATGTACATGAAATGACACAAGTATGAAGTACTTTCAAAGTAAGTCAAAGATTCAAAAATAGCAATAGAAAATACTGCCAGCTTCGTGAATTGTGTGTATTTCATTGCAACATCTCTGGTGATGGGATCTGATTCTTTCTCCTATTGCACTTCAAAAGTTACTTGTTGGTGCACAGTCAGTGCACAACTCTTCACAGTTGGCTTTGAAGAACAATCAAGTTCTCAAAAAACAAACAAACAAAAAAAAACCCACAAGAGCTTAATCAATTTAAAAACTAAGAGTTGGGTGTACCTTTCAAAGATTCCTTACGCTTCACACGTTTGCAGCACAGCAGCTGTAAAAACAGATTTTACAGCTCCTTTATTTACAACACCTTTCTTCTTTGCATTTACGTAATAGC